TTCTAACACTCCGCCTCACGTGGAGGCTTCCTCAGGCCTCAGCCGTGGAATAGGAGCGAGCAACAATTATATTTTATTTAATTGCGCTAACCAGGACTCGAAAACAAGACCTATGGCTTTGACACCATATTAAAGTTGCATGCACCAACCAATTCAACCCAGAAGCTTAAGCTAATGGGGAGAGGTGAGCAATTCACTTATATCCCAACACATGCTATCTGGGAATTGATTAGCAAGCATATGGTAATTTCGGCTTAACAATATAGGATTGGGAGGCGTCAGTAATCAACGATGTGCAGTCCATTTTAGGACTGACCCACGCTTGGGAAGCCGACCACTGTGTCGTCCATTTCCACAACTCCAGGTATTCTAAAATTGCCTGGGACATCTAAGAAAGGTTCATTTTGGTAGAGGGATATTCTAAAATTGTTGGATAAGTTCAAGGGGATGGCAAAGGTTCAGGTTAATAATGGAAAATCTTGCTTCCTGTGGGAAGACCTCTGGGGGACTGAACCACTGATTCACAAGTTCCCAGAGTTACTTTCATTTGCAAAGAAAAAAAACATCTCTTTTGCTGAAGGTGCAACAATAATCCCATTTCATAGTTTATTCCATTTGCTCTTATCTCAGCAGGCCCATTCCCAGATGCTCCAACTTCAGGCAGAAGTGCAGGAGATTCAGCTGAATGAATTGTCAGACAAGTGGATATACATTTGGAATTCAAATCTTTTCTCAGTAAACAAAGCCTACAAGCATATGAGTGTTCATATAGATTTACACCCAGTTTATAAACGGTTGTGGAATTGTTCATGTCAGAACAAACATAAAGTTTTTTTTCTGGTTGCTCATAAAGGACAGACTAAGCACTAGGGAGTTATTGAGAAGGAAAAACATGCTGCTGCAGGATTACAGTTGCCCTTTGTGCAATGGTTCTACAGAAGAATCTTCTACTCATCTGTTCCTAGAATGCCCCCTGGCTTCTCAATGCTGGGCATGGAAAAACATTCAGGTTGACTCAAGTCTTGAACCCTTCCAAAATCTGCAGAGTATCAGAGAACAGCTGCAGGCCCCCTTCTTCATGGAAGTTATCATCTTTATGTGTTGGACAATCAAGAAGGCAAGAAATGATGTTATCTTTCGCCAAATAGCCCCAAATCAACAGAATTTAAAGAACGACTTCAGAATGGAGCTCCAGTTATTGCTTCTGCGAGTTATTCTCACAAGATTAATCAATGGATTGCAAGTCTAGTTTAGCTTTTCTTCTTTCAGTTGTTCTTTTAGTGTTTTTTACCTCCATTTTTTGTCTCTTAAGCTCCCTCTCTCTCTCCCTCATGCCCTGTAACTCTGTTGAACCGTGACTAATAAATCTCAGTAGGGACTTAGGTCCCTCCTGTTTCCTCAAAAAAAACAACTCTCTAGGTATTCCAGTGACCGAGTGCAAATGAGCTTTTGACGTGTAGTACGTGGCACCAAAATGCAATGAGCCGTTTGGAGAACAGACGTGGGAGGTGTACATCAGGACCGACCTACAAGACGATGTTTCCATCATATCACTGTACTGTGTCGACCGCTGCAGAAGAGGCTCCGAACCTGCAGTGTGAATGTGTGATGGTGCGATGGAGAGTTCAGTTTCAATTTACTTGGTACCTAGCTACCTCTTCCTTATGTTTGTAATTCTTGTGGTGCTGTTATCAGCCTGTTCCTTGCATTGTGCTGGCATGCATGCCGTAGTCGTTTCGATGTTTGTTTGACTTAGATGTCTCTCTAAGGCCTCCTTTGGATCGATCTGGATTGGAGGGGAATTGGACCGAATCCCGGTCCTCCGGGGAAGCAAACAGTCTACGCCGGGGACCGAAGTCCGTGGTTGGCTGAATTTGTTTGTGGCTCAGGCCGGGCTTGGAACACATCCGGACCAATCCACGCCTATAACGAAAATGATGTGCATGAATGAGATGGCTCACAGAGTTGTAGATTTGGTGCATGGTTCTTCTAATCGTTGCACAGACTTCCTGTATGAAAACGGGACCGAATACAATATAATGTGTTTGCCTGCCTCAGCTTTGCTAAAACCAAAGGTCTCCTTTTGTTGGATTGGTAGCCAGTTTAACCATCATGAGTAGTAGTTTTTTTTTTCCAACTGCAAGTAGCCAAGTCATCTCATTTTTGTTGTTTATGTTTGAATGTAGGCCCTTCTTTGTGTGAAAGCGTCTATCATGCCATTCATGTCTTTTTCCTTCTAGTAATCATCCATGCAGTTGGTGATTATTTGCCATGTCATATATAGCTGATTTTATGCTAAGTTGTCAATAACAAATGTTCCTCCAAATAGAACAACATTTTATAATATATCTAAATTTTAACAAGCAAATATCCACCAACTCATTGATACAAGACTAACCAAAGGACTTTCCGCCATAAAACATGAAAGATGGATGTGCTGTTCTGAACCATGTCATCAAATCCGTCCAGATAGATGATGCACATGTGAACGAGTGTGCTGCGAAACATGTTTGTCAGGGCCATGTCTCTGATTACTCAAACTAGGGCCATGTCTCTGATTACTCAAACTAGGGAATATGACAACCTTATTATACAATGAACAACTGAATTTAATGTCTTAACATGTCCATGGTGCCACTGCTGTGTCATTCTGTGTGCTGGCCATGCATGTGGGCATATTGTATTTCTTACTATACATGACTACATAGAAGAACAATATTTTCATTTTTGTCCATGGCCTAAAATGCCACGAACGCCTTATATATAAGTCTCGATGGGCCTCATAAAAGCGTAGATGCTGTGCTACAAGCAATAGTCTTCTTCATGAGGAGGGTCTTTATTTTTCAGCTATCTAGGAAATAAAGTGCGTAATCAAATAGTGTCACCAAAACCCCAAAGGTGACCTTATCAATATGAAGCCTATAGTATATTATGATGACGTATCAGGAGTGTAAGGGGCCAAATCAGTAAGATCAGTGAGAAAGATACCAGAAACATGCAAAACACCAGAGCGTTCCTCTAGAGTGAACCTATAGCGTCGGCTTGTGGTGCTCAGGAGCTGGCACCTTGAAATATGGTCAACTGGATAAAGAAGAAACGTTAATCATCTGATGTAGATCTCGAAGTCGATTGCAAAGCTTTCCATAGGAAGAAGACATAGCCAAATAGGCAAACAATATCTAGAATAAGATAGAGTTTGGTGGGTTGCCAAACGCTCTATGCTTAGGGGGTCTTGTTATTAATGTAATTGGCAGCTTTCTTGTTAGTATGTAAATAAAAAAGTAAAAATTCCAAACTTGTTAGGTGGTCTAACAACATATCCACTTGGATCCCTCTTATGCTAAGGGTTTACTTTCAACAAGCCAAAACATCAGGGTAAACACATATATCAAAGATTATGCGGTGCCTTGAATTTACTGCCATTGTAGCCTTTCTGCTCTATTTTGGTTACTGATTTTCTTCTTTCTTAATTACTTCTTTCTGACACTGTTGTGGCTTTGGCACACAACAAGCATTTTTTCTACTCAAATTCACACTGATGTAACTCACTCATGGTCTGCGAGTTACAGATGGTCCATACTCAGAAACTTGATCAGTATAGTTCACAGACACTATATACCACAACAATAGTCATTGTTTTTGATTGGAAAAAATTGCAATTAGTCATGGACTATCAGTCTTTGAATTGTAGCGACCAAAAATTAATCTGCTTTCATAAACTGCTCATTAGTTGGTATCATTCATCAAATGGTTCCTTTTTTTTGATAGGTCAAATGGTTCCTTTTTGGGTGAACTATGCCAGTGCATTCAAGCGTTCTATTGCAGTAAGCTAAAATTAAAGTTGGGGGCCATTCTACGGACTATAAATGTATATTAGCATGCAGATGCAGGATACAAGCTTCTGAATTGCACTGTACAATTGTCACAGAGAAATTAAAGGCGACTCAGCTATGGAAGAGTGTATTGCTTCATATATATATTATCTCAAAATCTTTTAGGATTAAGACATTCCAGAATAATATGTTGTGTCACCATGATACCGTAGAAGTTCAGGTAGCAGTGAATTGCACACTGCAGGCTGTCAGAGATCATTACTAGTTATTATGGACATCCAATGTGAAGCAGATCAGAATTCAATACTGGCTGCACACAACATACAGCCCGAGTGTAGATGACATTATAAAGCAATGCACATTGGGTGACATCAAAATCAATAATATTCATTCTTAATGGAGTAGTAAACCGCTAGGCATAATCATGTGCTCTGATGATATTGTACATTTTGAGTGGTTGAGATTATAAATGGCAAACTTTCTTTACTAGCCGATCGTGGCAGGCGTGCCTATTTATAAAATGGCTCATACATATACATACGAGCACAAGGACCTAAGAGCACCAGAACGAGCTACTGATCTCTGCTAGGAGGTTCCATATGATAGATAGGAATTGATCAAGCCTGGTAAAGTTTGCTGAAATTATTTAGGATTGGGAGGCATCAGTAATCTACGATGGTGAAAAAACTGCAGGCGTAGCAGAGGAACAGAGGGATTATGTCAGCACTGGCTTTATCACAAATTTAGAATTTGAGCAGCACTGTACAGTACGTTTTATCTGCCGCCTCTGTCAGCACTGGCTTTCTCACAAATGCATAATTTGAGCAATTCCTTGGGTATATCTGGACGTCACAAAATTTTGCTGCCTCGCTGCACAGAGCCGACCATTGGTGTCATTCTGTACAGGTCTAGAAGTGTGCTTGGTCATCCTACAAAATATTGACCTTTAGATTTGAATAGAAACCATGGCAAAAAAAAAAAATTCTGTGCTCAATGTCGTCAAACACCAAGAAATGTCTCGTGTGTTTTAAAACCAAGAATCTTAATAATTTCGCACTGACACAATCGTACCATGAATCCACGTGCCACGGTCTTACACACGTACGGCCATAACTCTAACTTCACAAATACTGTGCATTTTAAAGAAGAAAGTCTGTATGAGGAACTTCATATGTTCACTTGGCCATTAGTTTGGTGTACCTGTTAAAACAAATGTTAGTCGGTCATAAGATTTCACATCTGAATATCTGATATATAATACTCCAAGCATTGTTCACTTCCGTCCAGGGGTGGATCCACAGGGTATGCTTGGTATGTCTACAGGGTATTGTGATTCAGGCAAATACAAAACATACATATATGTACATCTATTTATCTATCACAAAAACTGCTGATCGGTGAATCCCAAACACCGCGCTGTGGGTTTGATGAATCATTCAGACTTCCACCTACCTCATGCTTTCATGCACCGTCGTTCCACACCGTGATGACCTCTCGACACCCGCACGACATGGGTTATCACGCATGCACTGACACTCGTGGTGGGGGTGGGGGGAGGACGCGTTTACCAGGTTTAGAGATTATATTAGGATATAATCTTATTTTTTTCTAAAAAACTGCGAACTAAATTAATTATTGATCCTGTATCTGGGAGATCAGAGAGATCACTAGGTCAGGGATTGGTTTGCCAAAACATTTGTATCAGGTATGCATATCATGTGAGTTTTCTAACCATAACAGATTATACCATCTATGGTTCTATGAACTATGATAACAAATCGGTAAATGGTTTATTTTTTTCTCGAACTACACTGGAGAGCTACGCGTCATTTCATTAAGGTAGAAGAAAACAGTACATGAGTCCAGAAGGACCCAAACCTGAGTACAAAGAACAAACACACACACACACACACCACCTCATATACTAATCTAGATACTTGCCACAAAGAACAAGAAAAAACGACCAGCGACCAAAGGGCCTAAGCACCAAGGGCCAGCAACCTGGGCATGAGCTCTTGGAGCTTTGAAGCCCCTGCTGAACACCAAAGACCACCCTCCAAGCTCACATCCCTCAGCACCACCTGAAGGCTCGGCCTCGAATTCTCGAATACGCAATCATTGCAGTGCTTCCAGATCTCTCATGCCACCAAGATTATTAAGGAGTTGAGGCCCTTACGCGCTTCTTTTGGTACAGCTCTGACAACTTTTCTCCACCATCCAGAGAAACGACCCACTGAAAGATCAGGTGCTAATTGTACTATGCCCAAGAGCTGAAATATCGAAACCTAGACTTGGCGAGCAAACACACAGCCAACCAAAAGGTGACTGATTGTTTCCTCAGCCTGATCACAAAGGGGGCAGACCTCCGGGTATGGCAGACCCCGTTTTGCTAAGTGGTCAGCCGTCCAACACCGGTTATGAGGGGGGGGCAACTCTTCCAAATTCTTCTCCAAGGACTGAACTTGATTGTTCCGACGAAGAAGGCAGCATAAGCGGACTTGCTGCTGTATGAGCCTGACGGGTCAATTTCCACTTAAACTGGTCAGGTACATCTTGTTGCAAGACTGTACCTTCCACCAAGTCCCAAACCTGAAGATATTCAACCCAAACTTGTTCTGTAAGAGCCCCATTTATATCTCTGACCCATCTTCTATTTTGGAGAGCTTGGGTTACAGTTCACCTCTTGGCAGTTCCTTTCGAGACTGTCCTGAACAGGTTGGGAGCCACCTCAGCCATGGTATTGCCATCTAACCAGCGATCAGTCCAAAACATAATTTTCTCCCCATTGCCAACTATGGCATCCACAGCAACATTAAAAAGAGCCTGGGCATTTCATGGGGCTTGGATTGGGAGGCCAGCCCATGGCCTTGAAGGGTCTGTCTTTGCACCCACAACCAACGGATTCTAAGTGCCCAGCCCAGAAGCTCCAGATTATGAATTCCAAGTCCTCCAATTCAAGGGGCCGCTGCACCTTTCCCAAGCGACCAAGCAGTTACCACCGCTTGCTTGTTCCTGCCCTTCCAGAGAAAACCCTGCCTTTTTTTTTTGTCAATTGCTTGAAGACACCATTTTGGAAGATCCATGGCGATCAGCAGGTAAATGGGAGCAGCAGTTAGAACCGCTCTCACCAATACCAATCTCCCAGCTCTGTTCATGAGGGAGGCTTTCCAACCTGGAAGGTAGTCGGCTATCTTATCAATTAAAGGCAGCAACATCTCCTTGGTAGGTTTGCCAACAGAGAGCGGGAGCCCGAGGTAAGTACAAGGGTACTCCTTGATAGAGCAAGAGAGGACAGCAGCCGTAAGTGCTAACTCTTCATCAGAACAATGAATAGGAGAGACTGAGCTTTTGGACAGGTTTGTTCTAAGAACATAGGCATGTCCGAACATGTCAAGAAGATGTCTGATAGTCCTTAGATCAATCCTGTGAGGCCTTAAGAAGACCACAGCATCATCTGCATAAAATGATACTCGATGTCGGGCTTGATGAATGGCAATCGGCTGCAGCAGCTCCTTCATGGAGGCTTACTTGATCAAAGAGTTTAGAATGTCCATAACCAAAATGAACAACATAGGGGATAGGGGATCCCCTTGTCTTAAGCCCCGACGATGCACAATAGTCTCGCCCGGCTCCCCATTCACTAGCACTTGGGTGGAGGATGTAGAAAGAATTAGGCAAATGAGATCACGCCAACGCTGTCCAAACTCCAATCGCTACAAAACTTCCAACAGAAATGACCAAGAAACCGAGTCAAAGGCCTTCGAGATATCCAATTTAAGGAGGATATGAGCCTCCTTCGTCCTATTTAAGGACTTCACCATCTGCTGGACCAAAATAAAATTATCATGGATGTTTCTTCCTCTCACAAATGCACTCTGGTTTGCCAAGACAAGATTGGGAAGCAATGGAGCCAGCCGGTTAGCCATGATCTTGGTTACCAACTTCGCAAAACTGTGGATTAAACTTATAGGCCGAAAGTCCTTTACCTCCACCACCTCTGTCTTCTTGGGCAGCAAAGTAATAAAGGCTGTGTTGAGACGCCCAAAATTGAAAACATGGCCCCTAAAGATGGCATCCAGGGCCATGAGTAAGTCCCCCTTGATGATGTTCCAACAAGTTTTATAGAACCGACCTGTAAACCCATCCGGACCCGGGGCCTTGTCCATCGGCATATCTTTGATAGTAGCCCAAACTTCTTCCTCCAAGAATGGAACATCTAGCAGGGAAAGCTCATGCTGTTGAACACCCAATTCCGCCAAATCAATAGTAAACTCTCTCTCTTCTGCTTTCCCGAGAAGATTTTCATAAAACTCCAGCACAGCCGCTTGCTTATCTTCTTGAGAGACCACCAACTGATCCCCCACCTAAAGCTTTGGTATGAAATTTTTCTTCTTTCTAAACCGAGCTTGCTGGTGGAAGAATGCAGTATTAGCATCACCCTCCTGGAGGTATAAAATTCTAGAGCGCAGTCTAGCTATGGTTCTTTCCAAAGATGCAAGCCCGAGGCAGTGGAGCTTGAGCTTCCTGCGCAGCCAGTCCTTGTTTTCAGAGAGATCCCTAGAATCTCTCTCGATTTCCAGTCGATGAAGAACCTCCTTGGCCATTCCAAGCTGGATTTTGATGTTCCCCACCTTACGTTGTCCCCACCTCTGCAGACCTTTGCTAAGCCGCTGCAGCTTCAGAGAAAGGCGCTCAACAGCACAATTAGCTTGCACCGGAGCCTCCCAATTCAAACTGACAGCATCCAAGAAACCTGGGACCTTTGTCGAGAAGCTTTCAAAATGGAAGCGACGTTTGCCATTGGTGCTTACTTTTAGGCCCAGGATAAGCGGGCAGTGATCAGAAACACCAGCAGTTGTGCTTTGCAACACTGAATCAGGGAAGATGCCCTCCCATTCCATACAGCAGAAGGCACGATCCAATCTCACAAGAGTGGGAGACTGCCTTTCATTAGACCAGGTATATTTGCGACCCAACAGAGGAATCTCCTTGACCTCAACAACATCCAGAAATCTCCTGAACCTCCCCATCATTGCTCTGTCTAAGTTCGTATTGTTCTTGTCCTCGGCCTGATAAATCAGATTAAAATCGCCTGTAACAAGCCAGGGCCCATTGCATAAAGCACAGACGCTTCTGAGTTCTTGCAGGAACAACACTTTCTCAGCATCCGCCTGTGGCCCATAGACACCAGTGAACCACCAGTTGCGACCCTCTTGCTCAGAGAACAGAACAGAGACTGAAAATGAATCCACCCTGGTTGCAAGAGCCTGACAGGAGCTACTCTTCCAAGCAACCAAGACCCCTCCACGAGTGCCATTAACTGGGAGCGCAACGAACTTATCAAAAGCTGAGCCAAAAACCGAGACGAATAAGCGTTGATACATGTCCGCGACCTTAGTTTCTTGAAGACAGAGAATATCTGCATTGCTAGAAAGAATGACTTCCCTGACTGAATTTCTGCGATCCCTCTGGTTGAGGCCTCTCACATTCCAAATCAAGAGAGTAGCAGGATTCATTGTTAAACACATAAATTAATCGACCGAGCAGGGAGACAAAGCCTCACAACACTGCAACTACATCTGCAGACCGCACTTGCTCCCCTTCCCCAACTGTCCAGCCAAAGATGGCAGCAATAGCAGAGACATGGGAATCAGATAGCATTGGACTAAAGAGCTTACTGTAAATATCCTGAGCCTTTGGGTCGATCACCTCCTTCTCTTCGAAGCCGAGCTGCCGCATCACCCGCTTCTGCGCCTCCGAGATCACCGGGCCTGCGGAACACGGCCTGGCCCCGGCAACCCTCCGGCGCGGCAGGGACACCGAAGGGGGGGGGTGGGGGGGTTTCCTTCTCTTCTGGATCACGGGCAGAGGGAGAAGCTTATCCACTGGCTTGCAAACTTGGTTGAGCTTCTCCAGAATTTGGCCCGGTGTAGATGCTCCACGCTAGGCCCAAGCAGATTTGGCCCAAGCGGGGTTGAAGAAGAAACAGGCCCGCCAGTTTGGGCAGGGCCACTAAGGAACGGCCCAGGATCCTTCAGCGGTCCACGAGTAGGAAGGAGAAGGGCTTTGTCCAACCCTCCAGGGCGGCCCCAGGCAAACTGGCTGCCCCCGGAGTGACATCGGCACCAGCAATGGACTCCTCGGGCACGCGGATGGCGGCCACCTGATGGGGCGAGGCCACAACAGTCTCCTCTGGAGAAAAACCGGCTGCCGGCTGGGATGGAGAGGGTGGAGTAACTCCCGCCGCAGCAGGCCGGAATGCATCGGGCACCCCCACAGTCGCTTGGAATTGTTTATGAATTTTTTGTGTGTCATACTGTTTGGTAAAAATCTTAGATCTGCCACTGCTTTACACCAAAGCACCACGATTGGCAATTGAGTATCATTTCCCCAATGGACCGATTGATGTAATCATTACAGGGATTTTTTTCCCCAGAAACGGCTTACCCGGTTGAAAGGTAAAAAACAAGAAAATGTGGACTATATCTGGTGGAGAGGATGCTGAACTGGTTGCGTAACTTCTTCCAGCTGGCCCATGTGATCTGTTTATTCAGATGTTAGCGAAATTTGGGTCGTTGTTGCAGTTAAGTTGGTGTTGAGTGTTATTATTGTTTTGTACTCCAGAATATTTTAACAGATCGACCTTGTAATGCCTTTCAATATGGATATAAGCAGAGTTGAATATAAAACCAGAGCCAGAGGTGTGGATGCTCTTAGTCCAAGCGCAAGTGAGCATTGCTGGCACTCCAGGCAGCTGTGTCGGCCTTGTTAATTGATGCGCCCATATGGCAAGAGATGACAACGATGTTAATTATCATGAGCGAACATTAGTCTTGGGGAATGGGAAGCATTCAGAGTGGGCATCAAGAAACTTTATAATGTCCGGCTGATTGTTGATCCATGATGCAGTTACTTTCAATAATCATGGCCTCCTTGAGTGGGCATTGCCGTAGTGATTAGTGGTCATTATGCTGCTTTTTTTATGGCCTGTTGCAGAAGGGTAGAAAGAATTGATGAGATGGCCTGCTACTGAAATAGAGAGTTCCTCTACATTACAGGATTAAATATTAATGACTCATTTTGAAAAGGACAGGTGAAGCCTCAGTAACAATCACAATATCTATATCTAGTTGAGGAATTAGTCGGTTTCCCAAATACCAATTCCAATATCCAAGTACTTAATGTTATATAGTCATGAAACTGACTTAGTTGAGGAAGTAGTGAAGTTTTCATATAGCATACTGCACACTGCCAGAGATTATGAGTCATTGATGAACTACTTGTATTACTGCCCTTCACTCAACAGAGGCTAAGTCCGGTGGGTGTGTAGGCAATAAGACGCAAGCAGGGACAGTATGTGTGATGAGCACAATTTAGGTCCAAAAATGTGTGAAACACTAGATAGGGCGAGGGGATGCAACTATGCAAGTTTGAGGAAACCAAAACTCCATAACGATGCAATTGGTTCTCCATTTTCATCATGAAATCATGATGCTAGGTATTGGAGGTGTCAGGCGTTTATTATTCCCGTCCTCCGATCCTTCTCCCTGACTTGAGCAGTAAAGCAGAACTAGGTTACTGTGAATCCGTGATATGTAAACCTAGGGTTAATGCAAAGCCACCAAAACACCGTTGTTGCTCCATCGCATATGGCATCCGAATTGGAGGCACAGCCCTGCACGCCTCTGCAGTTATGACAACGTACTCCTGCTGTTACCTTAGCCACTGGAGAAACCATCAATCACGTCTAATCGCCTGCTCGTTCAGCTGCTTGATTCAGAGTGACGTTTTACTAGGACGGGCTGAGACAGGACAGGCCCAAGCACATTCTGAAGGTAGCTAGATTGGTTTTATTAAACTCGGTTCTCAACACAGCTTGCCGATCTGTTCTTCTTTGAAATACCGAAGGGGGTCTAAAAAATCTGGATTTTTATTGATCTAGATTTCTTTTGGCAAGGTAACAATGATAAGTCAAAATATCTCCTAGCTAAATGATGGTCCAACTAACACATATATCAAAGTTTATGTGGTGTCGTAAGTTTACTGCCATTGTAGCTTTGCTGCTCTATTTTTGTGACTGATTTTCTTGCTCTTCCTTCTGACACCTTTGTGGCCTTGGCACAGAAACCAGCATTTTTTTGTTCACAAAAAAAAGAAACCAGCATTTTTTTTGTTCTCAATTATAATGCACTGTTGTGATTGTGTTGCGATCTGCATATTACAGATGGCCCATACTCGAAACTTGATCAGTATAGTCAGTAGCAGAGCCACCGTCAGGCCACGTCAGGCGGCCTTCCAGGCTCGCCGCCGAAGTTTAATAGAACTTTTTTGTGTCGTTGAAGAATATTTGTGCATAATGAGATTCACCCAGCCTTCTAAAACCTTCTCGCTCCACTGCGTGCAGTTGAGCACACAGTATACCACCACACGAAAATCAGTAACCCATATTGGTCAGAAAAAATTAAAATTGGTGGTACTCATTACTACACAAAAAATTTTGCACAACGTTTGGCTTTGGGGCTTGCAGGCGGGTGAGCTGGTTGCCCGCCTCCGTTATTCGGTGGCCGGGCAGCCGGTCCAGCGGCTGCCTCGGTTAATCCTTAACCGAGGTGGACAACCTTAAGCGCCCGCCTCGGTTAATACCGATTAAACAAGACGGTTGTCGTAATGCAACCGCCTCCCTTAACATATTAACCGAGGCGGTCGCCTTAAACCAATATTAACCGATGCGGGTGCTTACGGCTGCCCACCTCCGTTAATATAGGATAAACCGAGGCGGTTGCACTTATGTTGCCTTCCTCGGTTAATCCTGGGGCTATAAATGCAGCAACTAGCCGCCTCCACCCTTCTTTCTCATGGCTTCTCCATTTTTTCGGGTTTTGAGCTCCAAAACCCTAAAAATTGAGCATTGCTTAGGGGGTAAGTTTTGCCCTTGGATTTGTTGAAGGATCGAGGGCATGGCAATAGGTTGCTACTCGCTCTTTAATCTTCATTCACCTTTCTTTTTCAACATTTGGGTGCTTTTCTATAGATCTTGTAACACCCCACGTCCAAAACTGCTTATATGGCCCAACTCCACACGTGGAACGTGCCCGCATAAGCATAGCACTCCGCTTATACTTTTGTCCTCGCTTCGTGTAAAACGGTTAACGCGGAGGTGCTACGTTTGGAACGACAAGGCTTATAAACTGGCCCTCACCCTCCTAAACTTCCAAGGTGGTACTAAACCCACCAACAACTCCACATGTGTCACTTGGGCCAACTTCACAACTACTACAAGCTACTAATGAACTGGGGTGTTACATTCACCCCCTTAAGGGTTGACGCCCTCGGCAGCTCACCACATATTTGTGGTAGATGTTTAGGATCACCCCTTAGTACACCCCTCCACGGGCACATGCAGCAAGGGTTGATGCTCCGAATACCATCCGTAACACCCCGTGTCCAAAACTGCTTATATGGCCCAGCTCCGTACGTGGAATGGGCCTGCATATGCGTAGCACCTCGCTTATACTTTCGTCCTCGCTTCGTCTAAAAGGGTTAATCCGGAGGTGCTACGTTTGGAACGACAAGGCTTATAAGCTAGCTCTTACCCTCCTAAACTTTCAAGGTAGTACTAAATCCACCAACAACAAATCCACATGTGCCATTTGGGCCAACTTCACAACTACTACAGGCTACTAATAGACTGGGGTGTTACAGATCTAGATCTAGATCTAAATGAAGGACATACCAACCGCCTCCGTAGGTTCCTGTAGTAGTGACTATCAATCGTCGAATCATAGCGACAAATGAATCCACTTTGAATGACTACTCATTGGTCATTATCATTCATCACCCACCCGTTCTCTTGCCTTGTCATCGCCTAAGAGAGCCGCCAGAGGCCCGCGACGATGGCAGCGCACGGGGCCCTCATGGCTGGGTGCTCGGTCATTTCCCATGCTGTTTGTTGGCGACCCAGTTCGCTGGTGCCTAGGAAGGGCAGCATGGTCTCTTAGATCCACATTAGGGGAAGGCGGATCTGGCGACGGGAGGCAACAAAAGCAGAGCTCTACGTACAAGGTGGTGGCCATGCTTCACTACTACAGAATGACTTTGTAGGGGCGGTTGTAGACCATTTGTAGGGATGGTTTGGCCAGCTGCCCCTACTACCCCATCTCTACAAATCGACAATTTGTAGCGACGGTTCGCCTACCGCCCTTACAAATCGGTTAGTAGGGGCGGCTGGATATAGAGTCGCCCCTACAAATCCGTTTTTCAAAAATCACAAATATGGGTAAAAAATAGTAAAATTTTCTTTTAGTTCCAGATGGCCCCACTAGGTAGCCTCACACCGCCCCTACAAATTCATTTGTAGGGACGGCTGGATATAGAGATGCCCCTACAAATAGGGCCATTTGTAGGGGTGGCTAATAACACCAGCAACTCCTACAAATGGATTTGTAGTGGTGACTCGTGTAGGGAACCATTTGTAGGGGCGCTTTTAGATTGAGCCGCCCCTAAAAAAAGGAGTCGTTGCCACAAATCCTTTTGGAGTAATGCTTGTGCCTGATGGCGGCGCTCGAAGACGGGTCCCCTCCCACCCGACCCCTTCTCCCTCCTCTAGCCCTAGCGCCGCCACCACTGCTAGAGCTCGGAACCAAAGTAGGGCGGTGGCGGGACCCTATGGTGATGGTAGTGGAGGTGGTCGAGAGGACTACGACTAGCGGTGAGGCATCGGCGGCGCTGTCCCTTTAGGC